ATTGCTATTAAATAAAGTATATAAAAAGTATATAAAAAAATTGTAATTCAGTTTATATAATTCTCATAAATATTAGACAATATAACTGTATTTATAATAATCTTTTTGTAAAATTTAATATTCCTCGAACATTTCGTTACGCTTCGGGAAGTTTGAGCAATTTGCCTTAAGACCCGATGCCGTACGCCACTAGTTATCTATATTTTCCAGCAAAAAGCGTAATCAGTACTCTTTGATATAAGGCTGACGTAGCTGCTGACAAGAAACATTTTGTTGCAAATGAAAAGCATTTCTATTTCAACGTAATGTTATATAAAATATAATAACTTTACTTTAAATCTTCTTTATAAGAATAGATAAATTCAGTGAAAGCGTTTTAAGCGGAAAAAAGTTGCCACATCAAGAGTGCGCCTTTCCTCTCGAAGAGTACAAAATCGTAAAAGTAATCCAGAGCAAAACAATCTGAGCAAATTGTTCTGCTGAGCTCGAGTTTATTCGGGATGTTTTGTCTGTCCTTTATATGAATAACTTGTTGCTACACGAGAATTTAATGAATCAAATTTTAAACCTGGCTTCAATATCCTATAAAATGTTTTCATTTTGAGGCCGATTTAAATTAATCAACTCTCGAAAGACAATTTCAGTTAAACCATCAACAAAATACCTCGGGATGATATTAGATGGCACACAAATTGTCACGCAATTTGTGTAGCGGTTTTGCATTTTGTTTACAAAATTTGCATGCCGTGCAAACGAGTGAAACTTTCCAATTATCTTTACAGATTCACTGATTTATAGATTCGTTATCATATCTATCCAATATAGCTGAGTTATTGAAATAAAAAATATTAAAAAATCATTCTTCAAAAATTTTATGCAAATTATGTTAAGTATTCAATTTAGTTTGATGTTAATTTGAGATTTTAAATCATATATTTTTTCTGTTAGACGTTAATCAAGTCAGCCATATATCTAATTATATTTAATATTTATAAATTAGGTGAGAACAAGTAAATTTATTAAATTTTTGGTACCCATAAAGTAAGGTTTATATAATTACAATTTTGATAATAATAATTTAAATAATGTTTTACCATAATGCTGATATTATCAACTCTATTAATTGTAACTTCACAGTCTTTGTAGACTATACTATTTTGAAAAAAAAACTATGCGGTTAAGCACAACTATGACGCTTTTTGTACATAGATTTTTTTGCACCTAGAAATTAATTAAGTCATCATTTATTTGAAATGTACTATGCTTTAAAATATATAGCTGGCAGTCAAAATCATCACTATTAGAGCATTACATTTAAACTAATAAAAACAATATGTGGGCGCAATATTGGCTACCAATTTATAACATTACTATTATTCTTTATCAAAAAATTTAGTAAACAATGTAAACAAATAAATGTAATACAAGTTGTGTATGTTATAGCACCTTAAGGCAAATTGCTGGTACTTCTCGTACTGAAAAATGAGATTTTTAAAAAAACTTTAAAATTCAAAGAATACAAAATTAGACTTTTGAAAATTTTGAAATTTTTAATCAAGATAACTTAAAAAAGTTGTGTTTTTTTGTAATTCAAATTTTTTTGACCGTTTAAACTTTTTTGCAAAGCAATTGCGCTGTGAAGTTATTTTAGACCCGCGTTGCAGACTATTGTATAATCATTGGTACGGAACCCATATAATTGTACTAATTTGTACCAATTATTAAAATTTCTATAAAATACCTGATAATTTGATTTATTATTTTAATCATTTTTGACTGCTAAATAGCATTTTTTATGGAATCCCCAAAAGCCCAATTTTTACTTTTAATACAAGTAAAATGTTTTTTTGAATCATTCAAATCTGGCGCTCCGCTCTCTAAAAACTAAATTAACATTTTTGGCACCTTTTCTTCCATATCTTCGAAACGGTTGCATCTACCATACTAAAAAACTATTCAACACGTCTTCCTATCAATAGTAATCGAATGTTTCCAGAATCATTCAAATTGGTTGATTCGTGCGCCCGAAATCGTGGATGAACAATTGTATCTAAACATACACACATCCACACACACACACATACACCTATATTTTCTAAGGTATGCCAAAATGTTTAGAAATGTTTGAAACGTAAAGATATGCAAAAAAAATAATTTATGATTTTTTTGCGATTACTATAATTCACCATACGGGAAGTTAATAATTATTATAAATTTCAGATTATATTTAATTTAAACTATTATTGCGCATCATGTTAAATAATTTATCATAACTATGTTGGGGTATATTTATAAATACATTTTAATTTCACTATCTTAATTTAAGGGACATAGGCACAAGATTGTTGCAACTTATCTGCAATTTATGCATTTGTCTATAACCTTGATAAAAAGCTTGTTCAGCATAACACCACATAAACATATTGAATATTGGGTTATTGCAAATCATCTACAAATCATAAAGTGATTTTTTATCAAAATTTCTTGTTGAAAAATCTAGCTGTCGGTCTATTTATTTTATAAATATGATCCTTAGCTCGCCATGGCAGACGCCTGTCGGATTGAATTTCGCTCGGCTCCTCGTTTCCATTTTTCAAACCGCGTGTGCGTTGTGAAGAATATATTTTATATTCTTAGTGACGAGAAAATGCATCGTATTTCGTTCTTGTTTTTCGATTTTCTCTTTGGACCGCATGCGAATTTTAATATCTGAGCAATATACGACCCAGTTGAGGGAAATTTGATATATATTGCACATTGTTTCATTTTAGCTCATGTTTAATGGTGATGTAATATTGAAAAAATGTTCAGGGTTTTGTGACTAAATAAATAGCAAATTTTAATATAAGTTAACTAATTTTTATTAATAATTTTATATAGCAAGACAAAGTATGCTTTAGTAGCTAGTGGCAACATCAATAGCTTGATTTTTAACATTGCGCGACAAAAATGACACTTATTTTTTTAAATACATTTCGAATTGCACGCTGATTTCAAGTATACCTTCCATTTTTTCGTAACAGCTTCAATTTTTCAGTTTTGCGGACTACCCCAATTAGTCATTTCGGTTATAATTATTGCAGTTTATTGAATAAACAAGTGAGGTGCATGGCATCGTACCTTAAGGCAAATTGCTGGAACTTTCCGTGCCGTAATTACGGTACAAAATCTTGATACGAAATCCAAAAAAATTATACAAAATGTGTACACATTATTAAAATCTCTACAAAATATGTGATAATTCGATGTACATATGTCCAATAAACGTTTTTGACCGCAAAATGACATTTTTTAACTTATTTTTATTGAAAGTCCATAACCGCTGGACCTGCCTTTCCAAAAATTTATTCCCTTCTTCATCTTGTCAATACTTGTCTTATCATGTCAAAAACTGAGTTACCGTTTTGGCACTTTTTGCCCAGTATCTTCGGAACGGGTAAACCTGCCTTCGCCAAAAACTAATCAGCTCGACTCTTTATCAATACAAATAGAGAAAATATGGGTTCTTCATACTATGTGAAAAAATTGCGTAGTGTGTTTATGTTATTATCCAGAAGAAAAAACAAATGTTTTAATTTTAATACTCCCATTTTTTTGAAAAAAAAAAACTTAAAATCACCACGACGATTGTTTCTTCTGTGCGGTAAATGCCAATAAAATAATTTCAGGCAATAAAGCCAAATAGTCATATACCAAAATCACAATGGTATTGAGGTCTACTTATAATCAGCTACACAACCCTTATCTATGCCAATGATGAACAACCTAGAACATCAACATCTTCTGTCTACCAAGTAACGGATGCAGAAACCAAGTTAAAAACAACACTTGAAAACTCGTATATTTGATTTGAATTCTTTACTCGCACTCTTATTCAGAAAGGTTGTTGCAAAATTTTGGGGATATTAGCGAAGAGCAGGGCAAGAGTATCAAGAAATCAGGACTTTAGAGGATCGATATCAAGGAAGATGAGACATCCACATGATTGCTGACAATTGTAGGAGCTTATGACAAAATCATTCAGGCCTTATCCATGTTCGAAAATCATATAAAAAGGCTTTTGAAAACATAAAATCAAATATGTTGAATTTTTTATTGTAATTTGAGGCAAAACTAGCATGTTATCATATCTCAAAAACTAGAGCTGTTAGCAAATTTATAAAACATCATATGAGTTAAGATCAATATAGTTCAGTCGTCATAATGTTCAGTAGTATTTAGTAATCAATGGAGTTAAATTTAAGTTCAGTGTTCAAGTTATATGAAAAGTGTACAAGAATCATGAAATAAGCATAAACATCAAAAGTCTTCATCTGTTTTACTGATTCACCTTCACAGTTTGGTACCAGCTTGATACTTAGCAGCAGGAAGAACCTATATTTTGTTGGCTCCGTCGCTGGATGGGGCACAACATTAATTTATTTGGAAAAAAAATTAGTGTCGCATAGTGTAATATGATGAATTTTAATATCTATTCTTCAATTATATAAAAAATTGTAATTGTAATTACGTTGTATGCAGTGGTGTTGTCGAGCCGGAACGCGCCGGAACGCGTTCCGGCAAAAAAAAATTTCAAAATGGTTACACACAGAAAATGATTTAATAAGTGAATTTTATAAATTATAATTCAACTAATTTTTATTAAATATTCTTATTGTTGTAATAAACATGCATAAATGTGCGCAAAATAGGTTTTGTAATAATTTTTGTTTCTTTCCTTTTCGAACGGAACCGGAACGAACATGAAAACCGGTTTTTGAACCGGTTTTTTAATTTTAGCGTTCCGGCAAAAAATATTAGCACAACACCAGTGGTTGTATGTAACCGCATGCCTATAACCTAAAAACACGTTGATTTTCTTTACTGAAAATAGTACCGATTTGACAACAGTTGTACTTTATTAAAAAGTCAATTTTGCATCAATATTGTCCAACACGTCATTATAAAAAAACTTAACGTCGAATTTTAATTACAAATAGACATAAAAATATTTTTCCTACCTTTTTATCCTTCCATCCGACTAAAGGTGGAAAACATATCACAAAACTAAGAACCCAAAGCCCGGCTATGAGTCCCTTAGCCCTTTTCGTAGACATGATGCTCGGATAAGCAACTGGCCTGGTGACAGCGACATATCTATCCAAGGATATTGCGCACAGATTTAATATCGAAGCTGTGCACATCCACACGTCCAGGGCTAACCAGGCTCGGCACCAGCTGCTTCCGAATATCCAAACCTGGAAGTAATAATTGAAAGTTATTAGTTGCAAATTTTATGAATGTTGTTGATCTTTGTGAATTATGTTACATATTATTAAACTATGTGGCGAGAATAGCTCACTCAGAAGCGTTGGTGAGCGTCTCGACTCACCCGCTGGAAGAATTCGGTTCGAATCTCCAGGAATACCAGAATTAAAAAATATAAAATATTAAAGTAGATTAAGAATTGTTAATTTGTAGAATACAAGAAAAAATTGGTTTAGAAATAAGAAGGAAAACAGAAGTTTAGTTTAGAAGATGGGCAGAACATATTGAGACACAAGAAGAAGAATGAAGATTGAAGAAAGAAAATTTAATGGATGATTAGGATATAAAAAGAAATAGTATATTTATATGGTGAATGTTTAAGAAAAATATGATGGTGGCTAAAAATGCTGTAAAGCGGAAGCCAATAAAATTTTAAAAAAAAAGAAGAAAAAAATTTATTAAACTATAGATTTATATTTTTTATGCATTGAACTTTCAAAAAAATCTGGAGAAATTTATAATAATTTATTAAAATATTATTAATAAATGAATTTGCATTTTTTTAAAATTATTACAAAATCATAGACAATAGAATTTGTGGGTTTAATTAAATAAGTATTTTGTTAACTTCCCGTAGAGTGTGTTATTGCAATCGTCCAACAATCAAAACTGATTTTTTTGCATATCTTCACGTTTCAAAGGTTCATGAGCATTTTGGCATACTTTAGACAAAATAGATGTGTTTCTATGTGTGTACGTATGTATGTGTGCAATTTCTCATCGATGTTTTTGTGAGCACTAATTTGAACAATTAGTGTTGATTAGTTTTGAGAGAAGGTTGGTCCAGCCGTTCCCGAAAAATGAATGAAAGAGTATTTTATGATAATAGAGCATCCGATATGAATTATTAAAAAAAAATTACATTCTTGAGAAGGCAAAGTGAATAGATTTTGGTAAAGGCAAGCCCAGCCGTTTTGAAGATAAGGAGCAGAAAGTGTAAATAATAATTTGAGAGTACAAAGTATGAAAGATTCAAAAAACATTTTGCTGTAAAAAAACGTTTAGCAATTTTTTTAAATTTAAAAATTTTTTTATTTCCATTTTTTTCAAAATATCTATCAAAAATGATACCGATTTTAAATTAAATTTTAGCTAATTTTATAAATACGAGATAGGCTCCACACGTTATTTGTACAAATTCTTAGTTTTTTTTAAATAAAATATATAAAAATTATTAACTAATTATAAATTTCTATTTAATCAAAATTGCATTAATCAGTAGCAACTATAATTTCAGCGAACAAACTGATTTCTAAAATAAATTTAACTGAATGATCAAAACACGTGCAAATGTTGATATTATGCAAAATAACATATAAGCAATAATTTACATGTCCATAATCATAAACATGATGTTAGTTAAAATCATAATAATTATGCCAAAATAGACAAAGTTCAGCGAAATCAAACTATTCAATTAATTATATCCGACGCTATCAATAACAGGTAAACAGAACATGTTAATGTTGCCAATCAAAATAAATAATTTAAACAGAATGCAAACAATTATCTTTCCAATAATTAAAACATTCTGCAATAATTAACACAGTCATCGACAGAGTCAATTTGAACTATGACGAATAATTGAATGTTCTTTTTGGCCTGACAACACTGCTTCATTATCCGAGATAGAAATGATGAGGGAATAAGCATTTCCAATTAATAAAATCAAATATCCAGACATCGATAATTAATTTTCAATAATTCAGAAGCTCAAAAGTTCTAGGGAAGAACATTTTGATTTGTATTTGTCACTTTCATCTGTGGCGTAATCAAGATATTATTAGTAGCTGCTCGTACAATTAATGTATTGATATTTGCACAATATACTATGATATTGATATTACTTCTTTGAAAAAGATCGTTTATAATATATTACACATTCCACAAATTACCACATAAAAATTATTTTTTTTCTACATATATTGATTTTTTTTTGCTCAAACGCACTATAATTTTCTGTATTTATGATTTATGATTTTGCTTGGAAAATATGAACTTGTCTTTGCCAATTACTGATCAGCACGTCTCGCCATCAGTAGAAAACAAATGTTTTTTGAATTAATCAAATCGGTTGATTTGTGCGCCCGGAATAGTGGACGAAATATTGTATCCTGAAAAAAAACACGCACAATATTACGAGATATATAAACTATTAGTATTTGATCCTTTGACCCAATAAAATTCAAGAAAGTATTGTGTTGAAATTTAAAACAATATACTATAATATGTGTATTACTTCCCTGCGAAAATTCGTTCATGATATAGTACACACTTCATACATCACAACATAAAAATGAAAAATTTTCTACATGTATTGAATTTTTTGCTCAAACGCACTACAATTTTCTTCCTGTCTGCGGCAAAGATAAATAGTTGTTTCCAAGGCTTTTATAAATTATGATTCTGCTTGGAAAATATATACATGAAGCAACAGAATGCATAAGTAAACAACGTATTTAATTCCTGGGAATAAATTTTAATAAGGCAGCTCTATGAAAAGCAAACAAATTTTATTGTACAACGCTAGTGATAGTTATAGAAATTTATTGTTATGCATTTTTTAAGCGAAAAAATAATGTTGCTAGATAAATGTACTTTAAACAGGTTTTTTACCACGACTAAACATTATGATGAGAGGAAAATCGAAATTATCACTTGCAGAAGAGAATGTAGAATAGGTAAATAATTTTTGAAAATGGTTCAGCCGTTTTTGAAAATTTTCAACAAGAGGTATACTTATTTTTAACTTATACCTTAACGATGCAGAATGACTTAAAACATCTAGAGTACATAAAATTAGTTGATCAGATTTTCTAGCCAAAATATAGTTTCTTTTCTTCAAGAATTTGAATTTTAATGAAGTAGTGAAACACGAGCATAACTAAGTAAATATATTCAAAAAATGTTTCATCTCAAAATAAATCACACTTTTCCAACTAGGTAATAAAGATTATAGCAAATCTTAAAACCATCACGTTTTATTTAAAAGACAAAATTATTCTAAAATCAACAACTTTGATTACGTGCTTAAGACAAACTTTCTTTGTCTAGGGGATTATAAAATGAACAACCGAGTTGTCCTTAATTCTACTTACAGCAAAACCTTGAAAAAACAAGAAACAAGAACATCGTATAAAGAAGCGTTATTTTTTATTGGCAAACTTTTGGCAAGCAAACCGCTGCAGACTTGTAAGGAAAATAACCTTGTATTGAAATATTGTTCATTTATATGGTTTTTACTGCCAAACTATAATAATGCAAACATCCAGAAAGATATATCTATTTTATTTATATATGAATGTATCACAGACATTTATATATAAATTATAATACAGTAGATGTTTTCATCTGAATAGAATTCTATGATACATTTTAATAAGTTACATAAATGGAGCAAGTCGAGAAATAATGGATCATTTGTATTCTTTTGCATAATAGAGAGGTAATAGGTAATGAATAAGACAAATAAAACAAGCAATATGATGTTATTTAATTAGAGTAATGTATATATATATATATATATATATATATATATATATATATATATATACTATAATTATGATATTGATCCCCTTGCAATGTACAAGTTTTTTCTTCCAAATTAACATCGTCAAACATGCGATTATACGATTTCATAATAATGAATATAATCTTTGATAACGACAATGACTTAATCAATTCTGAATAATTTAGTAAAGGCTTTGGTACCAAATTTGTGCAAATCTTCACTAAATTCGTTTTAAAATCCTTCTTGGATTTTTGATACACTAATTCCATAAATTTTTTGTATCTAAATTAATAATTATATACTTGCAAATATATTACATATTAATTGGCCGCGACATTTGTTACAAAAATTATAATACTTTTATTTAATTAATATTTTTAACTATCAGATAAAACGTCATTTATTATATACAAATATGAGAAGCTCAAAAGCAAGTTTATATCTGAAGCAGTTTATATCTGAATTGAATTTTAATTGAATCTAAATTAGGAAAGTATAGTGTATAAGATTTTCTGTTGCCTTCCACACCGCAGTGCCTAACTGTACTACTTTCAATAGAGAAAATATCAGTTGGAACGAGTACCTTAAATTTATGTATAGGTTCCCAGAAATTAAAAAAATCTTCTTTATTTGAAAACGCTTTAAAAATATACAGAATACTAAAACAAAATATAGGAATCATTGTACTTTCGAATAAAAAATAAATTCAATGAAATAATCAGTAGTTTTTTATAACATTTAAAAAACGAAAGTTATTTTGCGGTTCCTGCATGCTATTCTTACAAATTGTACATTTAGCAAAAACTAATTTTTGAATGTATTTGGTATTTGTAAATTTATTAACAGTTAAGGTAAAGTTCATAATTATTCTAAAAGCCTATTACACCTAATATAATATCTTCAGAAAAATTCTTTCTTTCAAAGAAACTAAGGGATACAATATAATATAATATAGTATTATTGCATATTTTAAAATCGTAGACCATAAGATGCACAAAAATAAAAACAAAAAAATGGTTTTAAGATTACAGATTTTCGCAAAACATATTTTCAGTAAAGAGTAGGTACGTTTCAATTATTTATTCTAATCAAAATTATCTTATTAGCATATAAATATTAATTTTACTAAGAATTACACTCATTATCTTAGTCAATTACGAATTATCATAACCCTCAATCTTCTGCAAATTTTATTATCCCTAGCTCTCTTCTTAGAATAATCTGTACCGTTTGTGATAAGCCAAGTTAGGGCTTAATCAATTCACAGAACTCAGCTTGAGGCCCGACTCGAATTCTCTCCGGGGTTGCTTTTATCTGCCAAGACCCCGTTTTGTAAGTTTTTAACAGCTTTTCGCGTTTTCATTATTTTTCATCGCAGACCGGCGATGGCGCCGGCGTTAGTGTTATCGGAAAACTTTC